ACCGCAAAGCTAAAGGAGGCTAATGTTGGGCTATAAAGGAACTACAGCACGGTCACATGACTTCACGTCACCACCGCTAAGCTAAAGGTGGCTAATGTTGGGCTATAAAGGAACTACAGCACGGTCACATGACTTCACGTCACCACCGCTAAGCTAAAGGAGGCTAATGTTGGGCTATAAAGGAACTACAGCACGGTCAAATGACTTCACGTCACCACCGCTAAGCTAAAGGTGGCTAATGTTGGGCTATAAAGGAACTACAGCACGGTCACATGACCTCACGTCACCACCGCTAAGCTAAAGGAGGCTAATGTTGGGCGTGAAGACGTTTAGTCTCATTTAGACACTTGTTACAACCCAGTCTCACGGCATTTTGTGTTATAGTCATGAAATTAATGTAATTTATTGATTCGTGTTCACCAACACGATTTCCCCCTTTTTTTTATGTCACACAGAACGATTTTAAAAGCAATGTATTTCTATTGGTAGCATGTTTCGTGCCTGCACCACGTCTTTTTGTCCGGTCGGGTCTTGGAAGACCAGAAGCTGTGTGGTTCATAAAAATATATTTTCTTACTCAATATCTAACCCTAACCCTTTTATTTTAAATTGTATAAAGTCTGAGTTTTTTTGCCGTCCGTGAAAAAAAAAATTGTGCTCAGAGCCTCAGAATACTGACATCTGTATTTTTTTAACCTTTTTTCCTTCTAATTTGTTATTATTTGGTGCCGACACGAAACATCCTACCAATAGAAATACATTGCTTCTAAAATCGTTCTGTGTCAGAATACTGAAATCTGTATTTTTAAAATCTTTTTTTCCTTCAAATTTGTTATTATTTACATTGCTTTTAAAATTGTTCTGTGTGACACGAAAAAAATGGCGAAATCGTGTTGGTGAAATGCCGTGAGACTGTGCTGCATGTTAGCAACCGCCGTTTTTAAATTCACCAGTGGGGTATTTACTGAACTATTTTATGTTGCAGAATAAATATGTGTTCAGCTTGTGTTAACCACAGACCTTATTTCAGGCTATCAACCAAAAACACATTGACTTCCAGACGAGGAACAGGAAGTGCTAAAATGCTAATTTACTGGTTTTAGGACTCATTCATGCACCACTTTATAGAAAACACAGTTTATAACACATGCACTTAGCTTTACCCTCCCTGAACTCCAGCACCTGGCCTCCATGTTCACAGACAGATTACATTTCCATGACCTCAGTGACGCCTTCAGGTAAACCTAAAAACCTTATTGTTTATTTAAAGTCAGTCAAGAAAGAGGTGATTGAGTTCAGGGCCATTTTGCACTTTATTGGATACTTAACAACGAAGACAGACACATTTAAAGACAGATTTCTTACGGAAATCAGACTTTTTTTACATGTTTCTAATATTTTATTATGTGAAAGTATGACTTTGATCAACACCAGTAACATTTTAGGCGTTAAAACATATTGTAAACCAGCATATTAGACCTTAGATGACCCCTTTAGCTTTATGGAACTGTTCCTACATTATTATTAATTAAATCCTGTGTTGTGCTTTTGGGCTGACACCTCTAACTGTCTGTCACTTTCTTCTCTGCCGTTGGCATGTGAGCGAGGAACAGGAAGTGCTAAAATGCTAATTTTTTCAGTGACGCCTTCAGGTAAACCTAAAAACCTTATTGTTTATTTAAACTAAGTAGTATCTCTGAAGTGGGATATGCAGGTTTGAAAAGAAAGAGGTGATTGAGTTCAGGTCCATTTTGCACTTTATTGGATACTTAACAACGAAGTGAGACACATTTAAAGACAGATTTCTTTCGGAAATCAGACTTTTTTTACATGGTTATAATATTGTAGACGTTTATTTTGTATAACAGAAGAGTACAAAGTAATAGTGTACTTATTTTATTATGTGAAAGTATGACTTTGACCAACACCAGTAACATTTTAGGCATTAAAACATATTGTAAACCAGCATATTAGACCTTAGATGACCCCTTTAGCTTTATGGAACTGTTCCTACATTATTATTATAATTAAATTATTATTATAATTAATTAAATCATTTTGCAAATGTGTTGTGCTTTTGGGCTGACACCTCTAACTGTCTGTCACTTTCTTCTCTGCCGTTGGCATGTGAGCGTGTGTAAACGTTTCAGGGAGATGCAGCAGGGTTTATTAGATCTTTAAAAAACAAGCCGGAAGACGCTCGTCTCAGCAGAAAGGATTAACATTCATCTTTCCATTTCACACAACGCCCACCAGGGAAAGTAGTAAAGCTCTCTCTCGTACAGAAGAAGATCCTGGAGGTTTTGGGGAAGATTCACCAAAGATTCTCTGTATTTCATTTTATAAATCTGCTAGTTTTTACTTCCATTGTGTCTTGCTTTTGCAGTAGTGGAAGACGCGCTTTTGCCAGTAGTGAAAGTACCAATAATACACTGTGTGAAGTACTTATAGTTTATTGTTATTGTGTAAGTCCTTTGTTTACTTTACTTATACCAAGTATCAAAAATACTTTTAGCTTTGATGCCTTTTGGTAGTTTAACCCACATCAATGCATAATAAGATTATCATTATTGCTTTCTATGTAAGAAGTTCTTGTGTAAAGTTAAAAAGTAAAATAAATCTCCCTGAAATGTTTACACACACCTCAAAATTGAAATGAAGTACCATAGATAAGTACTTAGTTACATTCTACGATTAGTTTTTTAAAATGTAAAATCTTTCTCTGAGAAGTAACCAATGACTAAGGTGGTCCATAAAATGCAGTGGCGTAAAAAGTACAATATGTCCTGCTGATATGTGGAGTTTTTCCGAAGTAACTTCCCACCACGCTGATGTACAAAACCATTGATAACATTTCCTCGCATCCATACAAGAAAAACTGAGCGTTTGGCAGAACGTACGAGTTTTATTCCACATGAAACACAAGCACCTTTTGTTTATTTACAGTCATAAAGCAACAGAGTGTAACATGCTGATATATACAGTAAAGTGACTATATGTTTACTATTAAGGGCCTCTTACATTGAGTATTAAATGAAGGCACTCTGGGATACATCCTCACATTTATGTTTCAGTCATCACGATACAGATTGTCCCGCACACATTACCTTTTCATTTATACATATTTATATCACAGATAATTGACAGCATCAACATCCATCTGACCCTTTGCTTTTTGACACATGTTTGCACACATCTATTTCCTGTTTAATTATCTACATGTTATGATTTAGTTAATTTTGGCAGTATATTATTTCGTTATTGAAATTGTCCAGGATGCATGATCATTTCAAGACGAAAGAAGCATGAAACTAATACAATTTGAAAAGCATGTAAAGTCTGTCATTGGGCATGAAAAGCATAACTCAAATTAATCAAACGAATGTAAGATTTATGCTAATGTGCATGTATTTACAGAAGAAGAATGTCAACATTGGATAAAGCCAGGTTCAAAATGTTTGAATATTGTTGGCATATCTCTTAAGGTTTTTACAAAGGGCCATTTGTAATTAGAAAGTTCGGACAACAGCCATACAAATACATGTTTGCCATAGTTTTAGGATTACATTGTTCGAGTTTTCATGATCTGTGAAGCTTAAATCATGATATTTTGTATACAATCATTAAAAAACAACCCTTTTTCGACATGTTTTATGAATAATTGTACCATAAATCAGGTCGTAAATGGTGTGTGAATGCTACCTATCTGTAAAAAGCTTCAGAATATAGACAGGAATGAAGCTGGACAGTTGTGTGTGTGTAAGTGCTACTGAAGAGGAGATATCTGCTGAAGAAAGGAGGAGAAAAACCTATTTTTGAGAACAAATATGGATTGTGAAATTCAGAAATGATCGATAGGGTAAAAAATGTAACTAATAGATATCACTATGAAATTTCCCCTGTTCCTTTCTGACATTAAGACAATACATTTTTGCATTACGAGTTTTCCGACATGTTATGTTTAAATGAACATATGAGGCATAATGTGATGCTGACTTTTGGTGAATTTAGGACAAATCTTCAAACAGATGTACCAAATATTCATCTGATCTTAAAGCCACCAGTGCATAATCCAGCTCTGGGAGTCCAGGAGCTTTGTGCTGGTGTTTTTCTGTTTACACTCCACCTGTCCACACTTCATCCCTCTTGTGCCTCATTTCATTAGTTCTGATGAAAGGCAGGAGATGCAGTGGAGCGTCTCGGCTCAGCAGTCGGAGTTATTAGAAGATAAATTGTACAAAAGGTCTGAGTCAGATAGAGCATGAGGTACTCTGTCAAGAACGGGGGTTTGTGTAATAGCATATCCAATTGAAGTGTGCTGTTTGATGAGTATTTTGCTGCCTTTGAGGCAAGAGACTCTCTGGAATTGAAAAGTAAAAGTGTATCTTTTTCCATTCGCACAGGGATATTACAGTGATTTGTTTCTGCCGCGCAGCCAGTCGGTACTTGAACTCTGAACCAACACCTTTCTGATCTCAATCTCTACATACACTTGATGAAACATCTATATTTTAGACAATATTACCTCAAAATTCAGATCACATAGGCCAAGAGAGCTCAAAAGATATGTACAACCTCAATATGTTCCAAGTCAAGGTTAAAAAACTAAATAAATGTATCCACAAACCATCGAATAAATCTGGAGAAGTATCTGCAGTGCATCATGAGAGGAAATTCACGAACAAAATTCAACAAAATGTTGCAAATCTGATAACATAGGACAAGTAAAATCAAAGAAATTAGGTACAACAATGTATTCAAAGTCAAGAAAAGTAAAAAATCAGAATTTATCACATATCTAAATGTCTTTTTAAATAAGTTGGAAGACGTATCATGCAGTGACCGGATATTGAGTGCGTTTTTAACCGTCTCTCTAGGCCAGAATGGTCAAACTTGCCTCATTTAAGTCATACCGTTCAGTGTTGCATTGCATGCTGGGAGGTGATTTGGCGGCGGGGCAGAGGAGGGTCCGGAAGTATCTCCGAAAAGTTTCGGAAAAGCATGCGTAGAGGATGGGGTTGGCACAGCTCCACGAGTACGACAGCAGCACAATGAACTCAAAGGCTCTGGCGAAGGTCAAATACAAGCCCGTTTGGTACAGAGCGTAGAAGTTCAAGGTGTAAAACGGCAGCCAGCATATCCCGAAAACCACCACGACTGCAACCACCATTTTTGTGACCTGTGACTCCAGACGGTGGGTTTCAAAGTTCGGCGTTGTCGTCGTCGTCATCCGGATCCGTTGGGACCTCATTGTTAGCAGAAGCGCCGCGTAGGAAGCCGTCATGACGGTAAAAGGCAAAGCAAACCCCATGACGAAGGTGTAGGAAAGAACTCCGAGCCACCAGGCGTCCGAATCGAGGTCCGGTATGCACAAACCTCGATCGGAGGAGAAGTGAAGCGCCATGGGTAGGATGGTCAGAAGAGAGAACAGCCAAAGGAACGCCGAGACGATCTTTGCCCAACGAGGCGTTCTCCAACGGGCGAACTTCAGAGGATCGGCCAACGCCATGTAGCGGTCGATACTCATCGCTGTGAGACAGAAGATGCTTGTGAACTGGTTGAGGCCGTCCAGGACCATCACCACTTTGCACGCTATGTCGCCAAACATCCACTTATTCTGGAAGTTCTGGCTCACTATGAAGGGAAGACCCACCATGAAGAGTCCGTCAGCGAGCGCCAGGTTGAAGATGTAAACCGTGGTGGAAGATGAGAGTTTGTCCAATTTCAAAATGGCAATAACGACGAGGGAGTTCCCGGCGAGTCCCAGGATGCAGACCACCAAGTACAGTATAGCCATGGTGATGCGAAAACCATCAACATTGTCCTTGTATAATAAATGATCATCCACAAAGGTGGTGTTGGAGTATATATCGGAAACGAATGGGGGGTCCATTGTGCCTGGAATGATTGATCAGAAAAGAAAAACAGAAATGCTGTTTGAATTCCCTGGAAAGCAGCTCGGCTCTTGACGCTCGTTGGTGGAAGTAAAAAGTTCAACAACTCATCTGAAAAACCTGAAAATCAAACACTGTTTTCAAGGTTCAAGAGCAGCCAGGCTTCAGCAACTCTTCAATTGGCCCCATGAAGTCAATCCTTTTATCTTGAGAAAAAGAAAAACACCTGCATTACTCCAAGTCTGCACGCTTCTTTCTGGTTCCCTTGAGCACACTTAGGAGCCACTAACACACTCAATTTGAAATGACCAGGATTGCCACTGAACACTCTTTCTCCCTGGGAGCTCCTTTATATGTCTTCCCCCCACAGTGTGTGTGAGGAGTGTGTGTGGACCCCCCTCCCCATCAGAGGAAGAGGGCTCCGCATGACTTGCTTTCACCGTTGTGGCAACACACACACCGCTACGTGCGGAGGAGAAAATTACGAATCTCTCCACCGCTTAATCTCCCGCGTTCTAATTTCCGTATTCACGTTAAAATTCTGAAATTTTTATCTAAAGTATTATAAAAGTCGATAAAGTATAAAATTTCTACTTTTGTCTAGTTCGTCGCGGCTTTTCGTATATGTATGTCATAGTCACCGATATGACATTGCAATCCTATCATTGAAAAAAGGTTAGGATTGGCAGTTAAATTAAATTATG